CCACTTTCTGTCCAGTTTCTGTGCGACGTCGTGTGAAAACACGAGGCATGAATCCAGTTTCTCTTTGGGTTTTGTGTGGATTAACCAGCAGATTTGCCCCCGTGTGATAACGTCCTAGGAGAAGAGGCGGTTAAGAAGTGATATGATAGCCCTGTTTAAATATTTGAAGGGAGGACATAATTGAGAATGGAGCAAACTTGTTTTCTGCTGCTCCAGAGAATAGGACCCGGAGCAATGGATTCAAACTACAGGAAAAGAGATTCCACCTCAACATTAGGAGGAACTTCCTGAGAGTAAGAGCTTGAGACTCCCTGATTCTCTGATTCCATGCTGAAGAAGCACATCCGCAGGCAAGAAAGGTAAAGGAAGAGGGAGGAGAGGACGAACGCTGTTGCAGTCAGCATCTGAGCAGGAATGTGTCCTCTGCCTCTTCCTTAGCCAGCAGCTCCTTTCCTCTCCTTGGAAATGGAGTAGAAACAGAGGGGGAGAGACGAGAAAGAAGGAGAACTGGAAACCAAAGTGCCGAAGAACAAGAAAACGCAATATACAACAACCGTAGAGTTGTGTTGTGGTTTGAGTGCTGGACTGACTCTGGAGACCAGGGTTCGAATCCCTGCTTGGCCATGAAACCCACTGGGTGATTCTGGGCACGTCACACTCTCTCAGCCTCATAGGATGGCAATGGCAATGCCCCTCTGAAGAAACCTGCAGGGGAAAACCCTGTGTTTAGGGTTGCTATACATCAGAAATGACTTGAAGGCACACAATAACAACAACAACAACAGGAATTGCCTTCAAGTCGACTTGGACCTATGGTGACTCAATGAATGAGAGACCTCCAAGTCACTCTGTCCTCAAAAATCCTGCTCAGCTCTTGCAGGGTCATGGTTGCGGCTTCTCAATCTTCCTCTTTGCCTATTGCCCTACACTTTACCAAGCATTACTGTCTCTTTTTTTAGTGTTTCCTTTCTTCTCATGATATGGCCACAATAAGACAAATTCCGTTTAGTCATTTTTGCTTCTAGGGAGAGTTCAGGCCTGATTTGCTCTAGGACCCTATGTCCTGTTTTCAGCTGCTTTAAATTATTCCAGGTTGTCCTGAGACAGTAGAACAGTTTAAATTCAGGGGGGGGGGTAGTGGAAACCTAGAATGAAAATAATCTGAAACCATCCTATATTTCTTGTATGAACTCAACAACATGCAGGATACTGAAGATATGTTGCTCTACAGTTCGAAAGAACACCAAGAATCTCTTCACTTACAAGGACATGGAGGTATCCTTTTTTTGCAGAGGAACAAAAGTTGAAAGAATAAAATCTTGTTTAAATGTGGAAAGGAGTAAGTTTTTAATGACAACCTCACCTCCATACTGAGTGTCCATTTACCTGTGTATGAAGTTCAGGGTTATATTGACATGAAATTTGACTCCACCATACAGAATTCCTTTTAGCTATAATATTCTAGAGCAGGGGTGGGAAATGTATGGCCCTCCATAATTTTGATGGACCACAATTCTCAGCATGTTTCATTATTGTCTATATTGGTCTAGGATTGCTGGGAGTTGCAGTCCAACAAGATCTGGAGGGCCACAAAATTCCCACCTTCTTCTAAATCAGCCTTCAGTTTCGTATCAGTGTTCAGTTTTTATCTAAAAGTGAAAGGCTTCCAATTGCTGTTAAAGCAATCTGAAACGGGAATATTTTTGTAGTGTGTTTTGGAGATTGGTCTTATGGCAACCTCATGAATGAGACCCCTCGAAAGGTCCTGTTCATCAAAGCAGAAGTAGCTGTGTGTGAGTGCCAAGAAAAATTATAAAATTGTGGGAATACCTTTATTAGGCCAAACAGAAAGGCGCAAAAATGTGTGCATCCTTTTAAGATCTCCAGAACTCTTTCTTAGGCAAGATATTATAAAAAGCAGCTTGAGGATAGGTACGTGGATCAGACTTAAAGACATATGGTATGCAACTTGTCTTGAGATGCTATGAAGATGAAGGGTCTGCAGACTCTCATGGTGGTCTAAGAATTGTTAAATTTCCAGGCGATCTGAGAATTATTCAATTTCCCCTCGCTAGTGTAAACCCTATGTTTACTGTGAGCAGGAAAAGCAATGAAGCTGGATTCTTCATTTTGCATATACAATACTGTAAACTCAGAACTCTCCCAATTTTGTTGTCTGTGGAAGTGACTAACTAGGCAGTCATTATATTGATAATGCTGGAAGTTATTTTAGATGCTGGACAAGGTAAAGAAAGTCAGCAGAAGCCAAGCTTCGTAGACAGCCCTTACGCGGTGACCGAAGATGGTGAAAGCTTAGAGAATAAACTACCAAGTTCAGGTGATATACAATCCAGTAGCAGAACAAGCCTTCCATGTGCTGTCTAAACATTCCCAGTAAGTTGGTGCTTGAGTCTGATGAATGAATTTGAAAAGCTCTTCTGGTTCAACTTCAGATTTCAGCTCATTTGCTGAAGAGCCGTGCTGAAGTTTTGAAGAGTTTCCCTGAAAGACTGCAACAAGGATTTTCCCAGTTCGTTGCCCGTTTCGTGTAATGCGGCGTCATAAGCTCCAAAGAGAGGCGTAGTGGCTTTAATGTCATCCCGCTTGGCCTGCAGTAAAATCATGTTAAGGTCCTCAGCTACGCTGTCATATTTCTGGTGATCAAATTTGGAAAGATCCGCTTCATCAATTGGGTAACCAATGTCATTTGCGTAACAGTCTTTTGGAACTGGGAATTCAATGTATTTCAGTCTAGGGAAATCAGTGAAAACGTTGAAAAGGCATTTCAATGCACGAGAAGAGAGAGGATTTCCAAGGAACTTGAACTCCTCTAGCTTCCGGCAGGGGACCAACCCCAAAATTAACATGTTCACGTGAGTGTCCTGGATGTTGCATTCCTCAAGGGTGAGACTCTTGAGTGTGTGGGATGAATGGTTCAGGAGCTTGAAGAAAGTAGATGGATACAGGTCAGCCACATCATGTCCGCTGATATCAAGAACTTCCAGGTGATTGGAATGGAGGCTGTTGGCTAAATAGGCCATGTCTACATGGTTTAAGGAGCAGTTAGAAACATCCAGCATTTTCAGTGGCGTTTTCAGTGGGCTGGAGAGTTAAATATAAAAGAAAAGGTACACAATTACATCATTACATTTCTACTGGGTTGTTATCAAATAGTTTTACAATCAAGGGATGCTTGCGTATAATCATAGTGGGTGAATTCTCTTTGACTTCAGCAGGATCTGAATATGGAAAACTAAAGGAAGGATTACAGTCATGATGAAGCCTTTAAAAATGCTTAGATTCTTACATTTGCCTTTTCTTTTCTGTACAATTTCAGAATATTTAGGCATAGTCCAGCCCTGCTGTAAATGGAAAGTAGGCTGGGAGAGTCTTTGTATATGGGATAAAATATGAGAGTCAGTGTGGCATCATGGTTTTAGCGTTGGACTACTACTCTGGAGACAGGGGTTGAATCCCCTGCTCAGCCATAGAAACCCACTGGGTAACGTTGGGCAAGTCACACTCTCTACCCCAGAGGAAGGGCAATGGTAACCCTCTGAACAAATCTTGCCAAGAAAACTTCATGATAGGTCTACCTTAGGGTTGCCATAAGCTGGATGTGACTTGAAGTCACACAAGAATAAATAACGTATCTCCAGTTTTTTCTCAGGAGAATATATAAGTCTCAGTCTCCAAAGATGGGGCTTCAAATCCCTACTCTGCCAAAGACACTACTAAATGACCTGCTGTTTTTTAGCCTGAGGGTTCTTCCAGTCATATTATTTTGAACAAAGTGTGCCTCAGCCTTCAGTGTTGTTGTTTTTGTTATTCTCCTAATTGCTTTTTTAATGTCTTGGTAAAAAGGTAGCACATTTTGGTTCATCTGTGGGCATCTTGCTTGTAATTGTTAGATGGGCACATACCCACTTCGTTTACTTCCAGATGTGTTTCAACTTTACCGTCTTGAAGTAATCTCCCTTTATTTGACCACCAATTTGTTGCTAATTCCTTTCAATTTATGTGGACTTTATAAGACTTATTAACAGCCCTGTTCAGGTATTGAAGACTCAAGTCTATGGTATCCTTGGATCAGTCTATCCACCTGTATCCACCTCTTTTCCTACTGCCTTCAACTTTATCAAGCTTTATCTCGTCTTTTCTAGTGTGTCATGCTTTCTCATGATACGTCCAAAGTACAGTCACCTCAATTTAGTCATTTTGGCTTCTAGGGAGAGTTCAGGCTTAATTTCCTTTAGACTCATTTATTCTTTTTGTGTGTGTGTGTGGATCTATAGTATCTGCAGAACTCTCCTCCAGCACATTTCAAATCAGATTATTCTTTTCCTATAACACTTTTGAGACTAACTGAAAGAAAGAAGGTGGTAGCATGAGCTTTCATAGACTTCAGCCTACTTCTTTAGCTGCATGCCTTCAAAAGTCTACAAAAGCTCATGCTATCAGCCTCTTTCTGTCTCAAAGGCGCTACCAGATCCTTTTGCATATTGTTTTGCCTGACTTACGTGGCTATGTCTTTACATTTTTTTTTCT